ATTTCCCGCGATTTCCCGCGCTCTAGCGTGCCGCATCGCCGAAAGAGGAATCACGCGATCGCCCTTCGCATAGATGTCCGTGAAGAACATCGCGCCGGAGAGTAAAATGTCGTCGACGGCATCGCCGCGAGGCCGTTCGTTCTCGTATTTTTAGTGGCTCGTAAACTAGGCACTGGCCGTCGTTCGATCTCGTCGTCTCTGTTTCTCCCGCGCGCAGGGAAATACAACGTCGGACTGGCTTTTCTTGGGAGCGCAAGCAAGCGCGCCATCGCTTGTGCCTAAGTGTTTCGATATCGCCGCCTTGAAACGTCAAAGAGCACCGGCACGTGGCCATCCACGATTATGTCGGGGTGTTCTCCAGCCCTTAGCATAATTCGAATGGTGGATCTAAAGCTGCAGTATCTTTATTGTTACGTTATGCAAGAAAATAAATTGCAGGCCGTAATCAGGGTTGAAAAATTTTGTCAAAATTTCTATTATTATATAGAATTTTTTTGAAAATAATCTATTTTTTAATTAAGAAGTTTTGTCGCAGGGGTTACTGCGACGGTTTATATAAAATAATCCGAGAGAGTTTTTTTTGGTTTTTATATAACGAGAACTTTAATATAACTTGTAACAAAAGGCGATGAGGTACAGTGTGTAGAAGGTAAAGGTAAACGAGTGACGGATGAGACAGAAATATGAACACGTTGAGAGTCGGAGGAAAACTTGCTAACTAACTTCTCCCGGTCGAGAGGTCCTCGTATTTATTGGGGAGAACGTATTGAAATTGGTAAGGGAAAGTCCTTGGGAAGGGCGAAGGCCTTTCCCGAAGATTTTCCGACCGGGGTGATCCGGGACCTATGGTCCGAAGCTGTGTCCCAACGTTTTTATTGTTTTATTGCGGTGTGTACGCCTTGCGTCGGGAAAACTCGAAAAAGGCATATGCACACCCCGCTTTTGAAGGACGTGTCTTTTTATGTCTGGTCCGCCACAAAGTTTATACCATAATGTATTTTATTGGCTACTTCGCAAAGTTAAATTATTTGTTATTTGGTCTAATTTTGATGCGTTATTCGATTTTTATGGGAACCAATGGTTCTTGAAAAGTTGAAGCGATGTACTTGAGATTATTGACAAAGGCAGAAAAACTTCAAATAGTTGCGTATCAAAATGATTGTCCCTTGCAGGAAAACTTTCAAAAAAGATCGGATCCAAAGCCTTAAATGCAAGGATTTGAGCACATGAACAATATGCTGATATCAATGCGTCGAGTTTATAATATTTTTGTAATATGTGTAAAATGAAAACCTAGATAAATAACCATTGGAAATTACGTCCAAGGATATCCGCTATTTTTTTTATAGCGTAGATACAGATTTTACAGTTTATTGATCTCTGTTTTGAACAATTGTTTAAGAAGTGTATTTTCTTTTCAGTTAGAATGAATCAAGAATTGATTACTGTATTTTTGGGTTTTTGTTTGATGTCTATGAATGAGTTGTAACAGCATGTGGCAGCTACCCCCTACGCTCGCCAGCAGATGGCCAACTAATCGACACCTTCCCCACTACTGCCCAATCTGTCACTGATTCGCATATCTCTGTAGCCGTTTGTTATCAATGAAAATATCTTCCTCGTCAGATATTTAAGTAGATATAATAAGAGCTTTTAATCAATGCCTATCGTAATAGAAAATATGCGAGATGCTGGTTTGTGTAGAAGCTCTCTCAAATCGACTGTTTAAAGCACGCCATCAATGAGGACTTAGTTGCGGAAGTAAGTTGGAAGAACAAAATTAATTTTAGAAACGATTATAACGCTGAATTTCACATATAAGTTATTTCTAAAAGTATTCTTGTTCAGAAATTAGTTTTCAGCGGAGTACAAGTAACAATAAATCTCTGTTTGCAATGTACATGATACAAAGATTCGTGTCAGTCATTGCGTATTTTCTCAATAAAGGTATTGGAATTTGCGTGCCATAAATATTGCCATAAATTGCGATAACAATTACAAACAACTAATTGCTAGATACCAAAATTAGAATAATGAAAAATAATAAATAAGCGACTATATGATCTTCGACGAACGATAGTAATCTGATCGTGAGTCGTAGTAATTACATTTCAAATGAACTAAGAATTGCATTGATTTACAGTAATGGATGAGAAGAGAATTAAAAATATCCCTTCCTCTTTTTCAGAATTGATTCATAATAATAATAATAATAATAATTCAGTGGTAAAAGAAAAATTTTAGTCAAGTGGTATTGTGATAATGAATCGAAAAATCTCATCGTTAACGAAAAGGTGTAGAACACAGGTCGCGAACAACAATAGATGGTCCAGCCGTAAAATCGAGATTCTGTGGTATCGCTTATTTTTCGCTCTCGATTCGACAATCCGTTTAGAAGCGGAACGAGTGGGTGGACACTATAGGAAATAAAAATAGAATTGTTTTGTGTCGCTCTATTTATATTTGTTTGCGAGTCTCTGCTCCACTGGGAAGATCAGTTCGAGATGGTTTTCGTAGCCGGTGAATATTCGGGTGTTATATAGGTCAATGATTAAATAATGTTAACAATAAAATGACTGTTAAAATCAAGACACTGTCATTAGATAAAAATGTGTTCGGACGTCAGAATAACAATGTCGAAACATCTTTTACTCTCAATTATTATTTTATAGAAAACATTATTAACGATCACTTAACTAAACCCTAAAATTGTATAAAATCTTGTCAAATTTAATCTATCGAAAACAAAAGAAAGTTTCTGCATGTAATTCAAAGGTTACTATCGCACAACTTTTTCTTTCATTCTTCTTTGTGAAAATGACCAGTGGAGTTAATCCACTTTAAATGGTAAACCGTTTACAACGTAGCGTCGATAGTACTGATAGTAGCGAATGATAGTACTATGCGAAATAACTTTTAATGCATCCATTTTGTCGTCCATTTGTCATAAACAATATTACTTATATAATAGAATGTATTCAAGAAATTATGAAAATTTCAGGATATGTATTATATCTTTTCCCAATATATAAATGGTTGATAAATCCTTTACCAAACAATAGATCAGTTTTACCCTCTCAGAGTGAATTTCATAATTACATATTTGTATATCCCCAAAGTTCTCCTCGTTAATAAAAATTAATCATTTATTCGTTTCACCATGTTCGTCCTAACGTGCACTAATCCATCACGTTGTAGAGTTTCTCAATACTATTAACAAAATCTCGTTTGTCGCTAGAATTTTGTCGTCCGCTCTAACAAACGTCGTCCACGATCAAGAAAAGCATATCAGTTTCTCGGATTCCAAGTTGCGATTCAAAAATTGTGAAAACATAGGTTCCCACACTTCGGAACGCTGTGCTCGTTCTCACGCGTTGTATCTTTCTCTTTCTTTCCCTGGTTAACCGAGCCCAACCGCGCTTTGCCAGACTTTCTGCGGGGGTGTCCGCAGCCTCGAGTTATTGCTATAGTCCGGCCACCGAACGAGAAACACGATCGCTAAAGACGATATACAGGAAAACAAACGCAACAGTTGGGACAACAATTAGGAGAATTCAGATCAAACAATGACACGCAAAGTGACTTCGCGTTCGAAAGAGTCCGAGCCGGCCACGAATAGAATAGAATCGAATTCGGGAACCAGAAGAGAGTACATAAAAAGAAGCAGAAAGAAAAACGAGGGAAAAGAGTTCGAAGGGGAAGAGGCGAGAGAGCCTCGGAACCGCTTTTGTGACTCTATTCCGGGGATGTCGTCACCAAAAATGGCGACGTCCACCTGTTCCCTCGGTTTGCAACGCGCTTCCTCTGTCGTGGATCATGTCGACGGTTTGGAGACGAAATCGGGAGCCCGGAGTGTTTGAAAATCGACGTAGATCGATGAAGAAATGTTCGGGGAACACGTTGCTGTCCATATCCAATGATTGTAACCCAACACCCGCGTGGCTCGTCCACCGGACCGCACCGAGCGGAACGGAGCGGAGCCGGCCAAGAACGCTCGGAACTGCCAAGCCACCGACGATAAGCGTAAAACTTGCTCGCGAAGGATTAACTTTCCATCTTCTGTAACGCAAGGCCGATTTCAAGGATTATTGTGTCCGAGAAATTCATCGGTCACCCCACGTTACGGTCGTATAGCGTTTCAGAGGATTCCAGTAGCATTAGCGCCCGCGAAATAAATGCTTTTCAGCGAAATTAATTAGCGATTTTATACGATCGCGAATTGATAGCAGTTTCAGGTATTCGGAGCATTCTGCGATCTTTTAGATCCGTACACTTGATAGTCTTTAATGTAGCACGTACTCAAATATTTTGAAGTAATTCCAATGTATGTGCATCGTTTTGAAATGAATCACTGTTTCAGGCATGAGCGCCATAGAATGTGGATATTTACGTATTCTGTCGCGATATTTCTTCTACTTTAGCACTGCGCTCGGATGTTTCAAATAGTCTGCAACTCTGATGTTGTGGCGGAGATTCAGACGTTACTACACAAGATAGAAAAACGTTCTTGATCCTTAATTAGTTGGGTCTTTTTGCAGCATTATTCTGTTAGTTCTAGTGTCCAGAAGAGTTAGAAAAGATACCAGAAGATTTATTAAAATTCTTAACAGATCTTTACTTTGCATAATATATTAATAATATAACGATACAAAAAATACAAGACACTACATACAAAATTGTAACAATTACTTACACAATCGCCTGACGGTTAATTCTAACAAAGTTCAATCGACTTAATAGATTGTAGTTACGTCTTCCATATCCATTGATGTGGCGCGGCAGAAATATTGAATAAGATTCTCAGTAAAATATGAAAGCATTCGATTGTAGAGACCAAATTGCTGATGAGTGTCCTCACCTGTTAATTACGAAACAAAATTGATTCTTTCGAATGTTGAATATTTAGTAGATTATAAAGTGGTGATTACTTCATGTGAATCATTTCATCGATTATTCTCTGTTTCTGATGTGTTAGTGACCTGATGCGTTCATGTTCACAGATGCGAGAAGTTGCACGACATGCGACAAGGTGCTGGCCGAACTGGAGAAGATCGACGACGACACGGACCATTTCGGGGTCGACTTCGTCAAGATCAACGACAAACGACTGGCGAAACAGTATGGCATTAAAAACTTCCCAGCTCTCACGTACTTCCGTGAAAAGGAACCGATTATTTACGAAGGTTGGTTCATTCAATACGATATCATTTTACATAGTACTCGAAAATAGTTGCAGAATAAAATCTTGTTTAATATTCATTAAATTTCATTGTACAGCTTAATTCGACCAATTAATTCATAATCTCATATTTTGAACAAGTGCATCAAATTGTATCACTATCATGAAGAAATAAAGAATGTTGTATCATTTGGAAGAAAAATTGGATAAATTTTATTCTTGTAGAGAATGCGATGGTTGAAAATTGTGTAATCTATTAACATATTAAATGGTTAAAGATTCACTAGTACATTATTATCTAAATGTAGTGGATGGTTCACAATTGAATAGAATATTATTATATAAATTGAATAAAAAGGTTCAAAGTTTAATAGTATATTATTACTTCAATATTGTAAATAGTTCAATATTGTGTGCAGTGTATTAAAACATTGATAGCAAATCACTTACCATTCTCCATAGTCTTCCCAATAAAAGAACACAATTTAAATGATGCAAAATTCGTCGAAAATTCTTTTGAATCATGCTAAGAGTAAATTAACGCTTTGTTGAATACAATAAAATAGTAATATATAAATTTAGACTTGTTACATCAATAAAAAGACAGAAAAGTTACGAATTAAGATACATCGTAATTAATATATTTTTATCTTCTTAACTAATTTTTTGCAACACCATAGAATAACAAAGTTTAATATTGTTCAGTCTAACACGGTAATATTTTCAGATGAATATCGAACATAATTCGAAACAAATCGCAGATCTCTCGATCGCTCGATATTTACTTCGTGGTTGTGCGTATGACGAACAAAGACGGGTAGTAATGATTCCAAATGACTAAAAGTTCGCCAAACTTTTATTGGAATCCGGCCGCGATCTCGGTAACCTTGCCAGGTATGAGAAACAAGGTTCGAGACTCGGTGAGTTATAGTACTTGACCCAGAATCCATATAACAATCGCCGGTATTTTTGAATTTTCACCATTTCTGCGCGTTTCTGGAGCAAATGAAGAACAAAGTTTATTTTATTGTTATAATTAAACTGCGGAAGTTCGTGAAAATGTACACCTTTAGAGAAGTTAAATTACAAATATCGTTGAATCTCTATTGGATCTCAAGTTCGACAGTTTTTTTAATTTTTATGGGCAAAATGCACATAGTACCATAGTTTTGTTGTAGTTATATGTACATAATAATTTTGTGCACCTTATGAAGAAGTTTGAGATGCTACTGTGCGCAATCATGCCTAAACATAAAGTACGAACACCAGATCAAATAATATTAAATGCTTAAAACTACTTATGGTCTATTTTTCTAAGTTATTATAACTATTTCAAATGTTTCTTCTTTCGAATAACAGAGCATACATAATACTATTAATTATATTAATATTATTATTAGTATCGATAATATCAATAATATTGATAATTCTCTGAGTGAAGTTTGAACGATTATCATACACATCTAGTGCTAATCTAGTTTAGTATCACTAAACTGAGTTTAGTTTAGTATCACTATAGCTCCAATAGTGACTGATACGTGTTATCTTATAAAAATGACAAGATTAAATTTATTTAAATAGTGCTAAATTTATTACAATATATACTGGATGAAATATATTGAAAATTAAAACTGCATATTCTTAGATGCGATTAGTAATTCCATGGTTTTGAACAAATGTTAAAAGAATCGCAGACTTCTGTAAATTATAATAAATGAACAACCGCCGAGAAACTAATATCCTATTAAGCCTTTCAAATGAAATGCCTGGGTATTATATTTTCATCTTAAACGCAATATTAACAGCGTATTTTTAACGACCAGAAATCCAACGTTTCGTGTTCCGTGGCCTAATGCTATTAAGAATTTAGTGGCCGCGATTTGAACGAATGTCGGCCGCAAAAGTCGTGTTAATCGGTCAAAGAATCGTAGATTTTCGTAGCGGTCACGCCTCTAGAGGCAGTCTGACCATCTTCGTTCCCTGGCAGTGATCCCAGGCTTCGGTATTCGGTCCGGTGAGCCTGTAAACCAGCAGCAACCGTATGCTCGAACTTTTATTCAACAAACAACCCCTTCGATACGAGGATGATCCTGTCGTGGCTCTATCGATATACATGTAGTACGTATAGTTCTAGCTCATCGGCGACACGCCCGCTTGCGAGGAGAAATTAATAGAGTACAAGGAATGCACGTGTTACGTAATCAGGCGGCGCGATGCGATTCGCCGCGTTCTGTACCTTACGGTTTCATTGAGCCGCTGACTGTCTAGCTTTCTACATTTAGACCGAGAGACGCTTTCAGTCGGTTGCAAGGGAAAACTTTCTGCCACAATGTGCCACCGAAGAGTCTCGATAACGAAACTACGAATAGAATGGCCGCTTTGATCGCGCGCCATTTATCGGAACGCGAATCTCTGCAAATTTTGAAACCTGACATATTCAGAGTGAAGGAATTGCTTTAACATGTTAGAAGTTTTATCATGATGCAACGAAGAGAAAAATCTAGCTGTTTTAAACATTTCTTTATAACGAGTTGCGAAAGATAATAAATGCTAGAAATGCAGAAAATCCACAAACTGCTTGAGGGTAGATTGTGTCAAGAATCGTAATATTGTATTTCTTACGTTAACGGTTTCCGTGTGATAAAGATAATACGTAGCCAAATGAAATTCTTTTTGTATAATTAAATTCTCGTTTGCATGAAAAGTATGCACAAAAGAATAAAAAGTTATATGGTCTATTCATAAATTGGATAACGAGTATGAATACGAAGAATTGTAATAAGAGAAATTTATGACGAATATTGATTCTTTACCACGTGGAAATCATTCTTTAGTAATACCTACGCGAGGGAAGAATGTAGACAAAAAGTACAATCTAATTTGATTACAAAGTTACTGGAACTACGCATAAGAATTATAGTGAGATTATTTGATCAAACTTACTCGCAGAAATTAATTTTATTCCGAAAACACTCGAGCAGATCTTCCTCTGTCAATCTTTAGATTTTTATAGCTGCATTGTTTATTATGGATTAGCATGTAATTTTTATTTCTCATGGGAGCAGTGCAATCTTTGGTCAGTTTCTAATCCGATGTATTTGTTTAAAGCATAGAATTATAAACAAGATACGATTTGTTCAATTAAAAATGCAGGATGATACTGAACAAATGTTACGGAAGAATGTTTCGTGCAACAATTTTCGAAACAACGAGACACGAGAAGAATGCCTGCGTACTGAAAACAGTGCGCGTCGGTTCGTAATTGGCAAGAAAAGTTGTCGGTATTATGCATTACGTAAAGCGTCATTGATAGAATGCAAATACGGAGGCGAAATGTCATTAATTTAAAAGTTCCGGGACCGTTAATGAAACGCGTCCGCGTTACCGTACGCATTCCGGGAAAGAAAATCAGAAATTGGACGCGGTTGGCCACCCGACGCGGAAGCAGACGTAGGTACAGGTGTGATCATCAATCCTGTTACATTGTGGTCAGCAAAGCCTGCGTTTGGCAACGGAATCGTGTAGATTTATTAAATCCGATCCACGAAATATCAGCACCGGCCCCGAATCCCCGGGAGAACATTAGCAAAGGCTACCGAAAAGTGTCGAACCGGTTGTCTTTCACCGGAACGGTTTCGGTTGATTTTCGTTCGATGATGTAACGACAGGTTGCATCTATTTCCATTGTACCTAATGCAACACGCCGCAATAGAGGTCTATTTTCGACGCCTCGGGATGGTAAACAGAAACGGCAGGAAGTCGCAATTAGGATTATATTATTAACTCTTTAAGTCCACACCGATGGAGTGGTAACTCAATACCATATCTATTTCACGGGAGACGCTCGACAAAAAAAGTCTGTTTATTTCCAGAATGCAGGGTTATAAATAAACAATCCCGCGGGAAGAGAAGACCGTCTCCTCAGCATGTGGTTCTTGCACCAGCGGAAACATCTTGAGCAATGGAAAATAAATAGATCTTGCTGAAAATGATAGATGAACGGTGACGCGACATGTATTTTTCCCAAATTTCCGTCACTCGGAATCGTCGAATTATGTAACGATCGTCACGCAGAAGAATGAACGACGTAAGCTCTGAGGAGCTTGAAAACGAAAGAGAGAATCAATTTTATATTTTGTTCTCTGAAAATATACCTACAAAAAGGATGAACTTCATCCGTAACAGTAACGTAGAGAGTAGGAAACGCTTTAAACGCGTTTCTCTTGAGATCTTATTTTTTTTATATGGCTGACACAATATCTGAAAGTCTATCTCGAAATCTGCCATAAGTGTTAATTTTTTCTAATTTATTGACAGGCCCTGTGGACCAAATGTTAATGTCATAAAATATTGAGAGCAACGTAAACAGAAGCAAATATGAAAGTTTCCAAAAAAACGTGATTGTACAGCAAAAACAAAATAATCTCAAAATCTGATGTAATGTATCCTGTGATTTGTTTCAGGTGACTTGATGGACGAAGAGAATGTCCTGGACTTCTTGACGAGTTTAGAGGCAATGGACTTGCCCGATCGTATTGAAGAGGTAAATTCGAAGATTCTGGAGAAGATCGTCGAAGATACGGAGTTTGTGGCAGTCTTATTCTGTGAGTTCCCTCATATGATACCATCATACATATACAACAATTACGTACACCTATCTTACCTCAAGCCACTTTCATTTCCATCAGCAAGAGTGTATAGAGACGTAAACGTATTATTACAGAAAGAGAATCCATAAACATATTGTTACAGGAAAGAAATTTTTTAGCCTTAAAGGAACAAAAAAGAAGAACAGTCAGAATTCTTTTAATAATTTCATAGGAAATAAATGACCACTTTGGTCGTATCAGCACCATCTTCTTCATAAATTATTACAAATGATGGTTTTAAGAGAAAATGTATAAGTATGTCAAATGCAGGAGCATTATTCATGGCAAAATCAAATGTTTTAGTATTCAGTCACCGAAACGACTATTTGTTCAAACCATGTACATAGTTTACAATTCGCAAAAGATCGAAGTACTGTCTGTTCGACACGAGTGCACAGTTACGAATACTTTAATTATTATTTTGTTGTATGACTAATAACCCCGTGCAAAGCCGACAAACACTTAGCAACGACAGTGTGCTTCACGGAATTCGCAGCGAGCGCGGTTCTGTTAACAGGTTTCGATACGATTTCTTTGATTTTTTGTCACTGATCTATGCTACTTACATAAGCGGCGATTAATGCAATAATATTTTCTAGGGAGAACGGTTTGACATTACTAACAGTGGGCTCTTTCGTAAAACGACCCTTAAGAACGAAGGGTCATTTGAAGTAAAAGCGTTGCGCCGTGCATACTTGACTGAAGCCTCGATATTTATCGCAGCGTATTTTGTAGATATTTTGATCTTTTGATTGTTAATATTACAAACTACGTACATTGTACACGTCTTCGATCCCGCCTTAATTCTCTTTGCAACATCCAGAACGAAGGAAAATTTTGAGATTCTTCAAATTTTTATCTTTCTGTTGTTTTATTTGACGTGCAAGCCTTGTCAACATTTGTACTTAGAATGTACTGGAATGTAGAACTTTCGATATTTTCTTGAAAAATTGAATGACACACGAACTCTGTATAAAAAAATACAGATATAATTACTGCGGAAATATGAAAGCAAGTGAATAATCTTTATCCGACAGTTACATGCTTGGGAAGTATTATGCAAAATAATGAATAAAAAGAAGATTTCGAGCATAAAAACGACTTTTCTACAATAATAAGACTTGATGTTCATGTCCTAGAAAAATGAGGACAATCCCAATGTAATTTGACAACTAAAATTAATATAATAAAAATAAGCCGGTTTTAGCTTCGTACAACCACAATAATTACTTCTAGAAGAACTCAAAGAGATCATTTGCTAGTTAGAATCCCCAACTTTCTTGAAATACAGAAGCACATCAAATCCTTACATCAGACTAACTAGAAGTTAGTCCAGAAGTTTTGAAGTTTATAGTTACAAAAAAGCTTTGGATCGTGCGTTTAACAAAATTTTCCTTCGTTGAAAGAGCATCGTGAATGTCTAGACCACCCACCTACGAATCCCATCGATCCCTTTGTCGGTCGTCTCTCTTCTGTTGTCTGCGAAAATTTGTTTTTGTCCGTTGTGGAGGAATTAACGCACCACAAAGTGGACGGCCGAGAAACACGATTTCCGGAAGACCTTTTGATCGAGCTTCGTTTCCGCCTCCACTTTGCGGTTCGATCACTTGCGAAATACTTGTAAATAATACATATATGTGAAACGTTCTTGTGTGTGTTGATATGGATAGGTCCGGATACGCAGCGGTGTGCTGGCGTCGGTTCTAGTAAGTACACAATCAAACGAAAATCGTTGTTCTAAACGTCTGAACAGCTTTCATTTTCAATGCTTGTACACGTACCACGACGCGCGAACTGTGGTCTTGGGAAAGAAGAAGAACTTGACAGCATTTCGATGCAATTATTCCATACGTTCTTTACAGATATGTCGAAAAAAAAATGCTTAACGGCTTTGTTCTTCTTGAACCAACCGGTTCGACCGTGAACTCCTGCCTGTATGTCTCCTTATACGTATTTATCTATCCACTACACGTAACAAAAGCTCTTTAACCCTCGCACGGCAGAATTCATAATTTACATAAGGAAGCAATTACATTTTTTATGAAAAATATCGATTTTTAAGACACAGTTTACGAACAGTTTAAAGAATAGAATTTCTTAATTTCAAGTTGATTGATCCAATATTTTCCTTTGAATTTCGAGACCGATACAGTAAATTCTCCCTAATTGACTCTCAGATTGTGCACAAAAAAAAGGAGATACGATTATTCGAGCCTTGCGGCACGTTTTTATAGTTGTTGACAATCGGTAACTATAAAAACGAGCCGCAAGGCTCTTCCCAACTTGTCCATTTTTGTGTACGATCTGAGCGTCAATTAGGAAGAATTTACTGTACCTTTAAAGTCTGATGATACACATGCACATAATATACAATAACCTCATACAATAACTTATGACTTTTAACTACAGAAACTTCTCTAAATACGTAAAACAGAAATTTCTGCGAAAATATCGATATTTTTCACAATAAAAGCAGAACTGGCCTCCTTAATAAAAAATAGTTAATTTAAAGTGGCTGCTAGAAAGATAGAATGTAAATGTTTGTAATTTGGAGACGGAACAGACCAAAGTACTGCCATTCGAGGGTTAATAAACGCCTGAGTAAATTGCATCGCTTGCAGCAGTTACCTCGATTTCTGTCTCCTAGCCACGGGATAAAAGGTAACGACAGAGTAAGACGAATTTTTACGATGGATTCACGTGAAATCATTCCGAAACGCCTTGCGCCAGCATTTGTTGAAAGGTTACTGGGTGATACGTAATATTTAAACAACATAGGAATGACTAAACGAACTTTAAACAGTTAAATCGTTTTTCATATAATCCTGTTAAAANACAATCGGTAACTATAAAAACGAGCCGCAAGGCTCTTCCCAACTTGTCCATTTTTGTGTACGATCTGAGCGTCAATTAGGAAGAATTTACTGTACCTTTAAAGTCTGATGATACACATGCACATAATATACAATAACCTCATACAATAACTTATGACTTTTAACTACAGAAACTTCTCTAAATACGTAAAACAGAAATTTCTGCGAAAATATCGATATTTTTCACAATAAAAGCAGAACTGGCCTCCTTAATAAAAAATAGTTAATTTAAAGTGGCTGCTAGAAAGATAGAATGTAAATGTTTGTAATTTGGAGACGGAACAGACCAAAGTACTGCCATTCGAGGGTTAATAAACGCCTGAGTAAATTGCATCGCTTGCAGCAGTTACCTCGATTTCTGTCTCCTAGCCACGGGATAAAAGGTAACGACAGAGTAAGACGAATTTTTACGATGGATTCACGTGAAATCATTCCGAAACGCCTTGCGCCAGCATTTGTTGAAAGGTTACTGGGTGATACGTAATATTTAAACAACATAGGAATGACTAAACGAACTTTAAACAGTTAAATCGTTTTTCATATAATCCTGTTAAAAGAATTAAACGTATTAAATCCCTATTCGGTTATTAATTTATACGTCGTGTGTGCACTGAAAGATGTCGTGACTATAGATAGTAGAACATGCATCCACCCCCATAGAGTAGAGTGAATGTGCGTTATAACTGAGAGAAATTTTGCATACTAATCCAAAGTGTTCTCGGGATAGATATTTCTTTCCGTGAAGCGGGAAAATCGTAATGAACGATTGCCTCAACATAGATCAATGTATATTTTTCGTAGCAAAATTCGACGATGCATTCGAGCCTGGCACGACATTTGTGTCGGTATTTCGGATTTTTTTCTCGATTATAAGTCTTTTCATTTTGTGAAATAGTTTAGATGCAGAGATAGATGAAAACGAAATAGATTGTCTTCGGGGAAAAAGAAAAATTGAGTCGGTTCAATTCGAACTTATCCGCTGTTTTTTTGTTAAACGTTAAGCAAGATTGTCTAGTAACACGACATTTTATTTCAAATGGGACAGACAAGCCAGACTGCAAAAAATGTCTCAAGGCCCTTCAAGAACTGGAGAACATCGACGATGAAGCCGATCAGTTGGGTATCGGCTTTGTGAAGATCGCCGACGAGCAACTCGCGGATGAGTACAATCTGGGACCACTTCCAGCTTTAGTCTACTATAGGCATCAAATTCCTATCATTTATGAACGTAAGCATTACTTAACATGTAAACGTCCAGTAAATATACGTAACACGAGAAATTAAAGTTGAGTTCCTCATGAAACAACCCATATATTTGACTCATGTGCTGAAGAATACTATGAAGTACAATACCGTCAGTACTTCAGCATTCTACTGTGCTATAAAATATTGAAATTCGCTAAGTAAATTGCTATAAGGCATTGCAAATTAAAATGTTCATCTCATTAATAAGAAAAATTGATACACAGAAACGAAATTATATACGACACGATTAATACTAAATTGGTGCAAAAATTTATTTTGAAGCAAATACAGGGTGTTCCATAATTATATCACCCGGAAAGGGGTGATTTCTGAGGTCATTTGAAGTAACTTTATCCTTGACGAAAATGAAATCCGTGGCTTTTGGATTTTTTTAGGAGTTATTAACGAAAAATACTGATCAATGAGAGGCAAGATTAGCTGGCGCGAAGCGGCCGAGCCAACAAACAGTCGAAGCACAATTCCGTTCATTGATCTCGCCTCTCATTGGTCACTGTTTTTCGTTAATAACTCGTAAACGAAGCCGTGGATTGCATTTTCGCTAAAGAAAAAGTTACTTGAAATGTCCTCACGAATTTCCGGGTATTAACATAATTGTAGGACCCCCTGTAGATTAAACAGCAACTAAATTTTAAAATGATGTACATATAACAAGTAATACAACCAGTAATACAACCCGATAGTTTCCTTTAAAGAAGAAATTCTCGCGCATAATCAATTAAAAATTTATGCAGACGAACTTAGCAGAGAAGAGGATGTGTTAGAATGGCTGGTAGCTAACAAGAGTACTGGAGACGAAGAGGACGTGATCGAGGACGTTACCTCGAAGACGCTGCAGACCCTAATCGGAAACATCGACAACCTGGTCGTGTTGTTCTGTACGTAATATATTCATTAGCAACTTGATCATTCTCAATTCACTTGTCAGTGATTTCGTTCTATGGATTCCTCAGACGACCATGGCGACGACGATTCGATGCAGGTGCTAAACGAGTTGGAAAAGATCGACGACGATTGCGACAAACACGGGATACAATTCGTGAAGATCGACGACGAGAAAGCAGCAAAGGATTTCGGAATTGACTCGGTCCCTGCGATCGTGTACTTTGAGAAGCAAATTCCAAATGTTTACGATGGTAAGTAGGTAAATCGACTAGGATTAGGGAACGATTCTAAAGAGGATCCGGGAGGATCCTTTATTCGCAAAGGCGCCATGTTAACTACTCAAAAAGACGCGACGTTTAAGAATATTCTTCAGGAAAGATTAATGGACTTCATTCCTAAACGGCAAGCTTATCTAAAAATGCATGTATTGTGAAACTTGTAATAATTGTTTTGCTTTACTCGAAGGCTTTCTCGAGACTGAATCATTTGAAATAAAAAGGTCATGAAGATTCGGTTATAATGTGTGATTTTGCCTGGTAGATGAACGAAGGGTTACGTCAAAGAAACACATTTTTGTCGCGTAAAATCGTATTCTTGCTTTAAGCGAACTTTAAAGTATCTTTAAATAAGATACTCGTTTGACAGTAAAGTCCGTTAATTTCTTTTTACAAATAATTCCTAAAAAGTCACATCTTTTTTCAGATAACAAACATGATCCTTTGAAAGTAGATTGTCTCTAGGTTCTTCTTTTAATCAAACAGTTTGTCGAACTGTAAAACAAAGATGTCAAAATTGAGTTTCTTTTGTATGAAATATTCTCTCCTTCTCGAATGTATCGCCAGTTTTATAGGACATTTAGTACGCTAAGAAATGGGTTGACATAAAATTTTACCATTGCAGGAGATGTTGAGAACGAGGACGAAATTCTGGAGTGGTTACTGTCCCAGTTGGAGAAAGACGAGATTGAGGACGTCACCGACGAAATGTTGGATCGTTTGATCAAGGATGGCAAAACTCTTGCCGTGCTGTTCTGTAAACTGCTTTACTTATACTCAATTATTAAATCGTTGTTAGTGAAATGGTGGATATTGCAAATTAAAAATTTCAACCGTGTAATTAACATGAAATATATAATATCCTATCACGTAGGAGATATTTTGTCTTTTAGCTGTACCATTGATTGAGCTTTACATTCGATGGGCCTTTATCACTTGATTCCAATATTGGAAAATCATTCGCCATTTCTATCTATTACGATCCAATACGATGTTACAGACCAATATCGATTAAAATTGCTAATAAAAATTCGTTAGACGACAACAATGACCGTAAGTCCCAGAAAATACTCAACGAGCTAGAGAACATCGACGATGAATGCGACACGTTGGGGGTGACCTTCGTGAAAATCGACAACGCGGAAGAGGCTAAAGAATATGGCATCGAGAAGATGCCAAGCATGCTCTACTTCGAGAAAGGGATTCCGACGTTGTACGAGGGAAATCTAGAAGACGAGGAGAAGGTTCTGAAATGGCTGGAGCAGCAGCAAAAGAGTGATCATATCGAAGACATCACCGATGAGGTGCTCGACATGATCATCGAGAAGATGCCGCACGTAGCTGTCCTTTTCTGTTAGTAATTAGACCCGTTCCTATCAGATATCGTTAAAAGAACCTTTACGGCAGTGTATGAACTATATATTATCGCTTTCTCGAACAGATGACAAGGATCAGAAGAAGAGCCAGAAGATTCTCGCCGAACTGGAGAACATCGACGACGACTGTGATCAGCATAACATAGCATTTGTGAAAATCAGCGATCTGGAGGAAGGAAAGGAATACGGCATCGAGAATTTCCCCACACTGGTACTCTTCGAAAGAAGAATACCGCACGTGTACGAAGGTAATTAAGTCTTAAATACTAATTGTAGTAGACATTCTGAATGTTTGTTAATAATACCGATGGCACAAAGTCAAAGGCTACTGTGCTGATAATATCCTGTTGTTAAAGGCGACCTGATGAATGAAGATCAGCTACTGGGCTGGCTGCTGCATCAGAAAAAGCACACAGAGATACCGGAAGTGACGGACGAGATGATGGAGAAGCTGATTGAAACCTCGCCGTACTTGGCAGTCCTGTTTTGTAAGCGATCGATTCGTCTTTCTACCTCCTTTTAACATTCTTCCACTGTTACCGGTTAGGTAGGTGCTGTTGGTCGATTGCGGGCGAAAACGAGACACGAATTGATTCCTTTCCGTAGACGACAAGGATGACAAGCAGGACATGCGTATCCTGAACGAACTGGAGAACATTGACGACGAGCTCGAGAAGGAGGGCATCGTCATTATACGGATGGACAACGATGCCGAAGCGAAGGAGTACGGTATCGATCATCTTCCGACTCTGGTCTACTTCGAGAATAAAATTCCGGCGATCTACGAGGGCGACCTCCTGAACGAGGACGAGGTCCTCGAGTGGCTCGTCGAACAGAAAAACACTGCCACCATCGAGGAAGTCACGGACGAGATCTTGACCGATCTGATCGAGGAACACGAATACGTCGTTGCATTTTTCAGTATGTATACTTTTCGTTTTGCAGAGTGTCCCAAAATTATTGTTGTTCCTGAGGTCATTTGAAGTAACTTCTTCTTTAGCGAAAATGCAATCCGCGGCTTCGTTTACGAGTTATTAACGAAAAACGCAGACCAATAAGAGGTGAGCTCGCCTAGCGCTAAGCGGTCGAACCAATCAGTGGAACTGGACTTCGACCGCTTCGCGTTAGCTAATCTCGCCTCTCATTGATCACTGTTTTTCATCAATAACTCGTAAACAACGCAGCGGATTGCATTTTCGCTAAGGAAGAAGTTACTTCAAATGGCATCAGGAATTTCATTTCCCGCTTGTACAATAATTTTGGGACACCCTGTATTCAAATCAATCGTATTCGAACAGCAGCAATGTGGCTATAAAATAATTTACGAAAATTACGTGTCCTTAGTCTTAAAAGTAACGATAATAAAGCTGTTACTTGATAATAGAGCTGTTGATTTAAAAAAATAAAATTACTTGACCGAATAAACTGCACAATATGATATTGCCTGTACAATGGTACAATTATTTCTTTTACACAGAAAAATATAAGTAAATAGTAACAATTATACAAGATCCGATTGCTTTACTTCCGTTTACAATCCATGTTACGAACCAATGTCTCTGGTAACATTTCTAGGCGGAGACTGCGAAGATGGAGACGAATGCGACAAAGTGCTTGAGGAACTCGAGAACATCGACGACGAGCTGGACGAGACTGGCATCATCTTCGTCACTACGGAAGACACTGGGTTCGCGAAGAGACACGGGATCAAAAGCTTCCCCACCTTGGCCTTCTTCAGAAACAAGGAGCCGTTGATTTTCAAAGGCGACATCGAAGACGAGGACGAGGTGCTGTCGTGGATCACGGACGAGGACACTCTGGAAATCCCCGGGAAGATCGAGGAAGTGAATGGCAAGATGTTGGAAAGCATACTCGAGGAGAACGATTACGTCGTCGTCTTCTTCTGTGAGTACCTTGATACAGATCCAGCGACTGTGTCGTTCGGTCGGTCGTTGACCTCGACTGGTTCCGTTCCAGACAAAGAAGGCGACAAGAAGAGTCAGAAGATTCTTCAGGAGCTGGAGAACATCGACGACGAGTGCGAGGAGAAGGACATCGACTTCGTGAAGATCTCGGACGAAGGTATCGAGAAAGAGTACGATCTCCCTGGTCTGCCGGCGTTGGCGTTTTACAGGCACAAGTTCAGACAAGTGTATAACGGCGACATGATGCACGAGGAAGCGATTTTGGAATGGATCCTGGAGCTTCGTACGCAGACCCCGGACGTGATCGAAAGCGTGGACAGGAAGACGCTGCAGGTGCTCATCAACGACGTCGAGCATCTCGCTGTATTCTTTTGTAAGTTGATTATCCCAGCGAACGTAATCTTTGATCGTGCCGAATGTTTCGTATCTGTTCAAAGTACAGAGTAATTGAGACAACAACAGAATGAGAATGGGAGTACGTTAAGAATAACGTTTGATGGTGATATGTCTCTTTCAACAGACGACGATAAATGCGAAGCGTGTCCGGAGATCCTTGAGGAGCTAGAAACCATTGACGACGACACCGACAAACACGGTATTCAATTCGTAAAATCGAACGACGCTAAATTAGCCGCTGAGATCGGTGTGTTCTCATTCCCGGCTCTCGTTTATTACGAGACTGGCGTCCCCATCATGTACGACGGTAAGTCCGAAATGCTTCTTCCTAGGCTTGTTCGATCATGATCAACACCCTCCCTCGGATAGGATTGTCTTTGTTTCTTTGCGTAAGGTATTTCTGTTTTCATCTCATGATCAGTCAGTCTTCAGAGGAAACAAATACCGTATAGATATCGATTTCACGATTCTTTGATCATTCTCTGTGAATTGTTCCTTTTTATCCAATAGGATATGCAAAGCTTTTTGAAGTACGAAAGAAAAAGATTAATAATTTACGGTGTGCTTCGTACGAACAAGAAACGAATCTTTAACTTGACACATTCGGTACCGATCGAAATTAGGAAGGTACTAATAAATAACCATGTGACTTATAAATTGATACAGAACATAAAAACCTGATCATATAGATGCTCAAATAATATTCAGATTCCTCTTTATTTATAAACGTTAGAAATATCAGGATTTAGAATCTAATCGTAGGAAGAAGAAACGCATAACCATGTAGAGGAGAGTAGCTGATTTTGAACCAGCGCGTAGGTTGGACTTAACTTTCATAGTCAATTGGTACCACTAATTATACTGTGAATATTTGTCTTCTTCCAGATCGAAACCATATTCGAAGCATGATTTACAATCCATTAATACTATTGATAACAATGCAAGCATTCTTCTTTCTCAAGATGGTTAAACTAAGACTCTGGTTCAAATTATACTACTCGCCGTTAACCTTGAGATTGCAAATATTTTTGGGCATGTGATTGAACTTATAATTTAAAGTGTCTCTCTAATTTGCTGATACGAAGAAAGGAGGTTCTTCCTTCGTATTTCTCTGTAACTTAATATCTTGATAACACGTTTCCAAAGTATTGCAACTTCTAATAGGAACGTAAAACTTGAGAGACCCTTTAATTAACTGCACATAGGTAAATATCGTAAATCCTACAAAACGAAATTTAATGCAGAAATTCATTCACCATAATGAATCGGCAGACAATCTAGTAACTGTAAAAATTGTACATAAATTCGTTGTCGCATCGAACTAGGTTCCGAATGTGTTGAAAAAGTAGCACGATGAAAAACAAGGGAGAACAACTGACTATCCTTTATTATCCCAAAAATTCCGTAAGAACCACCTCGAAAATATCTGAAAGCCCCTCTCCGACAATGATCACGGTGCATCGTACAACTGAGCTGATCTTGATATGCGTGTGTGCCTTTTGTAGGTAATCTTAAGAACGAGGAGAGAGTTCTGGAATGGCTAATCGAACAGAAAAGTAAGGAGATTTCTAGGATGATGATTATTATTATTGGTGTACTGTTCTTTGTGACGTTAATCTCGGTCGTGACCATACCGCCCGGCTACGAGTACAGTACTCGCGCCGTGGTAATCACCCCGATCACTCTGCCACACCCGCGGTCGCCATAATTACATATAACGGCGCGTCGAAAAAGTACAAGAATCGATCAGAGATATCATGTTTATTTCGTGTGCACTTGTTTTTTCTCCTATACGTGTTCAATGTTGTATACATAGTCTTCTAAAGTTGATAGAGGATCGGCGGTGTACGGATAACAATATCCTAACGAACAGTTTGCTCGGTTCGGAACATACGGTACGAACAAGAACGAATGAAAAAAGAAAGATCTCACAAAGCTCGGTGATAAAAATACAAAAACAGCAAAAAGATACGTTCATGATCTGGCTTCTATAATAATTGATGCGCGCGCGCAACATCGCTCTGGCCACTGACACTATTGCATTTAAAACACACTATGCGAGCTTACGATTTTTTTTCGCTGTCTATCTCTTTCTAATGTCTATCTATCTATCTATCTATCTATCTATCTATCTATCTGTCTATTATCTATCTACCTCTTTTTCTACGTCTGTTTTTTCTTCTGACAATTTTAATTTTAAGCACTCGCTATCGCGCAGCTACCTCACTGCATTAATATGCTCTACTTCGGGTCGTCTGCCTCGGTGAAAGTACAGTATTTACCGATCTCACATGCAAAACGCGGGATCGTTTGATCGACGAAATTGCGGAGATCGATGAAGCTTCATTTTTGTACGGTTTTCGGGACGCGATGTTTTGAGCGGTTTTCGTGCTGCAAGATCTTTCTTTGGTCGCGCGTTTCAATGTCGGGTTCGTCACGAGTCGATCGGTACCGCAGAAAAACTGAAGAAACAAGTTTACTTTTTAAACTTGGCGTGTCATTAAAATGGAGGTAAGTGGTTTTATGGGAAATTTGAAAACTGAAATGAATATATCGACTGTATCGAACAATTTCCTCAACTTCCAGTATCGAATGTTGTTATGTTCTTTCATTACAGTTGTAGATTCTAGATCGGAAAAGGAGAAAAAAAACACTTCTATCGAATTTGAAATGATCAAATGGAAGATTCATCATCACGCCGTATTGCGCTCACATTTTCCAAAAGGCTCACATTTTCCTCCATCTTTCATTTCCAAAATTCTTTATCTTTTAATCTAAGAATGTAGCCGATTTAAGACCAATCACAAAACTTCCGCATTTTCAGACCAATAATTTAAATTTGCAGTAAAAATACAATTTTCCGTTTTGAGAACAGGACTTCCAATAGGCTATCTCCAGTCGCTGCTAGAAATTGGAAATATTAATATTCGATATGATTATATTCTTTCCCATAAAACTACATCCCTGAATTTTAATAGAGGCAGACTGACGGTCAGAGTTATAGATTTTCGTAGAATTGTTTTGATATATCTAAGTTATTATTTTCCCTGAGAAATGATTATGGTCGTATTCCTTCATATTTTCTGTGAAACGATCGCAAGCGGGAGAACGATCCAAAAACTCGTACAATTTGATAAAAGCACTCGAACATCCATGTCTTTTTTTTCAATTCCATCAACTTTGTACACACATCGGAGTCACCCATCTTGAAGCAATATCGATAACAATTCGTACATGTTCACTGTTATGCGTTAATAATATTATCCAATTTGAAAAAATAAATGCATGCTACCCTATGGACCGAGGCCGTATCGATCACAAAAAACGTAGGTACACGCTCTCACTTCCGGTCGCGCTAAGTATTATCGATGACCCTGTTAATACGCAGGTGATGATGATGATGATGATGATAATGATGATAATGATGATGATGATGATGATGATGATGATGATGATGATAATGATGATGATGATGATGATAATGATGATTATGATGACGATGATGACGATGACGATGACGACGATGATGATAATGATGATGAAGATGATGATGATGATGATGATGATGATGATGATGATGATGATGATGATGATGATGATAATGATGATGATGATGATGATGATGATGATGATGATGATGATGATAATGATGATGATGATGATGATGATGATGATGATGATGATGATGATGATAATGATGATAACGACGATGACGATGACGACGACGACGATGACGATGACGATGACGATGACGATGACGACGACGACGAAGACGATAATGACAGCGATGACAATAATGATGATGATGATGATGATAATGATGATGATGATAACGACGATGAAGATGATGATGATGATGATGATAATGATGATGATGATGATGATGATGATGATGATGATATCAGCAAAGGAAAATTTACGAAAATGAACAAAGCCCTGAAGAATATGCTGGACAAAGGTAAAGGTCCGACCGCAACCCAGNCGACGACGAAGACGATAATGACAGCGATGACAATAATGATGATGATGATGATGATAATGATGATGATGATAACGACGATGAAGATGATGATGATGATGATGATAATGATGATGATGATGATGATGATGATGATGATGATGATATCAGCAAAGGAAAATTTACGAAAATGAACAAAGCCCTGAAGAATATGCTGGACAAAGGTAAAGGTCCGACCGCAACCCAGGAGGCCGAAGAGGAGTTCACGTGAGAGATCGAAGTGTGACGGGCTTTGTGTTTCGCGAAAGAACAAACAAAACGAAAGCAATAATACCAGAATTGTACCCCGCAGAAACAGATTGTAGAGATGTGTATACCAGTAGAGCGATTTTAATTGACTTGTAACAAAACGTGACCGTCCACTCGCCACTCATGGTCGAGTTGGAGGCCGTAGGGCGTACCTGCATGAGAATTAACATTTTTTTCTTCTCTTCCCGTCTAACAAACTGCAATACACCTTGCTCCGATTCCACTTACCATTCGCCCTCTAATTAAACAAAGTTATAAAATGTTCCCTCGTTCTCACGGTTTGCATGCGAGCCTTGTGATCACCCTATTCCTCACATGGAGCTACGTGACCCAAGAATAGAATTCACGATTTGCTCGTCTACATGTTGTTATCATTCGGTGCTTATCTATCGGTTACGGCTTTTCGCCGGTTGTGTCAAATCGTGTCAAATGTTTTACTTCGTTAGTAAATGTACATACATACAAGCAATACGTACTTTTCGTTTCTTTTTGTAACACGGAGGTAAGTAAAATTGTTGTACTAGTCGCGAGACGTGTCCTGCCAATGATCCGCGGTACGTAGCTCCAGAAGACCTTGATCGCACTTTTACCCAAATAATAACAACGATTTCTCCAAAGCGAGCCGATGGTTCCTGTTGTAGTTGACAGCTGTCGTCTGCAGCGAGTTCCGAGTCGATGAGAATCGGACTAGCCTCCGTTTGAAAGACCGGGGAAAATTATCGCGAGGGGTACGTTCAGAATATCTCGTCTCCAACGAAATTAATCTTCATTATTAACTAGAATATACGATCGGATACTTTCGAATGTCATCGGTAATTGGGCTTTAGAATCCCGCGGAAAGTAATTCGAAATTTGTTGCGCAATTTGTTCGTGTCGAGAAACGATGGAAAAAAGATTTCAGTGGAGGCTGGTCCACGATAAAATGACTGCCATAAAAGAGTCGTCGACTCGCCGCGAGGTATTCTCGTCTGTTGAAAACATGCACGTTTGGCTTTTGCTGCGCAATTGGGGTTGAAGTGAAACGTTCTCTCTGCACTAGCACGTCAGAAATTTCACGAGTCAATCTATCTATCTCTATCTTCGAGTTCTATGTACATCTCTCTCTCTCTCTCTCTTTCTCTCTCTTTCTATCATTTCCGTCTGTATCTTTATTTCTGTTTCTCTCAAGTTCTCGTAATATCTTTTGTTTCTCTTTGTTTCCATCCACTTCTTTTCCATTACAATAACTCTTTCTTTCTCTTTTTTTATAATTGGTACCTTCCACCCACACCCCGTTGACTCGTGAAGAAACGGAGAATCAAATCAGCCGTAGGCTAGCCAAGTCTGATTTTCAAGTTTCTCTCTATCTTTCTTGTCTAAATCTCTCTTTCTCTTTCACTTTCTCTCTCTTTCTCTCTCTCTCTTTTTCTTTTTCTCTCTCTGTATTCTGACTCGTTGTATATTTGCTTACTGCAGGCGACGGCTGTTTCTACATCGGCATGGGAGGTAAAAGCGCGAAACCCAAGATTCCCTCCTATGAGCCCTACCAGTGCTGTCCTGCCAAGGTCGCCCACGGCACCAAGGTCGCCAAGGCCACCAAAGTCAGTCCGCTGGCGAAGGACAAGGGCAAAGCATACGGTGCCGAGAGGTCGGACAAGTTGGGACTGTCGGCCCTGAAGCCGATTAACAAGCTCACGGCGAAGGACAGCAGAAAGACCGCGACGGTATCGGCAGGAGTTAGCAAAACCGGCAGCGACCACAAGGCTAAGAAGGGATTCTTCGGAACCGGTAAATATCTCAACTGGCTGTGGTAAATTGCGGATTCAAATCACTGCCCCCACGCGGAATCACGGATCGATCGATCGTCGAACGTGAACCGGACCGATCGGATGGGATCCACGATCGTTTCAAAATGGAATCCTCGATAACGGTCCAACGGATAATAATCATAATAATCGTAATAACCGTAATCGTAAGAAAGAAAACAAAATATTCTAATCGCAGTGTTAGAGTGTCTTAGGGATAATGGATTACGCCAGGATGCTGAAGTTAACGTATATGTCCATGCGACCTGGTGGGCAGTGATTTCGATCGGCATCATAGGGGAAGACGTAGAGGTTAGTCATAGTGCCAGTGACACCCGATGTCAAGAGGGTCAGGAGAACATGATGATTGAGCAAAAAAAAATCTCGGCCGGCTGACGAATCCTCTTCGTATCTCGAATACAGGTGTGTCGCGCGGTCCATGAAGAGAATCACTGAGCCGCAAGTTCTGGATGAGCAAGACGATCCAAGACACATGCTATGGAAGCCGGTGGCTGGGTCCTCGGACTCCTCGGAATCGTCGGGATATATATATATCTATGCATATATACATATACATATATCTAGAAATAACTATTTCGCGAGGGACTAGCTTTCAAGATGTTCGATCGACAACTGTAAACGTAATCGTGCGTTCGCGCCGGATACACGTCTATGTTAAACCTGACGGAGCTATAATCACGACACGTTTCTCTCATTGTCGGACGTAAATCGCTCGGTCTACAGTCGATCCCTTGCTCCTCAAAATTATCGTTCCGAAGGTGGTTGGCAATTATAGCTCCGTCGCGCCAACGTCCGCCGACACCCCGTCCCGTTTCCCGCAATGTGTGTTGTCTGTCCACAAACCTTGTAACCGTCGATCGGATCCGGATCTATCTCAAGCCGCGATTCAACAAACTACATACGTGTGTGTGTGAGCGTGCATAAAACCGTCCGCTCTGAAGAGAAGGGGAAAACTATACGTATGGTCGGAAGTCAGCGACGTGACTAACGAATTTATAGATCAATCGGAACGACGCGATGAGAAAGGAGGATGTGATTTTTCTGTCTCTCACTGAGAGTTGGGTCGGGGTTGTGGCCTGTTGCAGTTGTGGCCGGGCTCCCGTACATCATGAAAGTCTAATGATCAAGGAGACGCACGAGCTGGAGGAGACGGACGAAACGGATGAACAGAGAATACCGATGAAGAATACCGAAAGCTGCGAGATAATGATACGCCAGAAACTGCCGAGACCAGTGTCACCTAAGAACCACGTCTATCGACCGATAGATCAGCGAGCCGAGAGCAAACAGAATTGAACACTCAGAATATCTGTCCAAGTGTCTCTTCGTTCGTTAAATGATCTTGTTCCTGATGTCATCGTCTCATCGTCATTAATCGTCATCTTGTATATCGAAGCGATCATCATCATATCGACACACACACACCATCATCTTCCTCCTCCACCGATCATCATTCACGAAATTTCAGTCTAGTCATCCATGAACGACGCGGAACGCGAATCATGCGCCCTTTCCCGTAACCCTTCTCTATCTATTTATCAATCTATATCAACCAATCAATCAATCTATCTATCAATCTATCTGTTTATCTATCTATCTATCTATCTAATCCATCTATCTATCTATCTATCTATCTATCTATCTATCTCTGTCTCTCTGTCTCTGTTTCTTTCTTTTCTAAGAGAATCAAACGTCCCCCGAACTTGAAAATTGAGAATTAATAACCTGCGAATTCGATTAACTCAATTGTCGCGCGCCACTGTCGAAGGTCGAGTTCACCCAGTCCGGTTCGCATGCATTTTTTGCAGACGTATGTGCTCTTGTGTTGTCCGAGTGCATCCTCGACGCTCGAGTCACGTGCGCGCAAACTTTGAGAACGGAATCACCCAACGATCCACCGCACCGTGGATCGTACAATCCCCGTCGATCGTTTGTGTCGCGACACGATACCGCCGTACCATTGCATTTCATCGGCAACAACCTTGACAGAACTTCGGCGGATTGCTTCCAAAGAACGGGAACCAGAATCGATCTGTTGCCGAACGTTTTGTAGTGTTCTCTTTGGTTAGACTTCGCGGTACGAATCGGGTGCGACGTTTTCGATGAGTAAAATTATCTTCGGTCGCTGGTTTAAACCCTGGAACGTGGAATCGATCGAACAATGAGAAGACTGTTTCTTTTTCGCGTCGCGTCGCGGCGCGCCGAGTTCCACGGTTGAAACGAACAGATTCACACGTCAACAATTCCTTAAATCAATCTGCAGATCTCTCAGAGTATGTTTATGTCAAGATGACAAGCGAGCAACGATTGATTTGTAGTCGCTTGGCAATCACGGCGTCCGTGTAGCAATCGAATAAACGATGGATGTTTCGTAACATTGTCCCAGAAAGTACGTTGACGATTTTGTATATCCGCAGAGTTTGTGCTTCGCAAAATGACTTCGACCTACCCGCACAATAAAACACGCACGGAACCAGAGAATGTAGAGAATCGATTTCTGGATGATTTTGTACGTTAGATCCTCCACGAGACACGAGACACGTTTGATCTGTACACGCGAAACGCTGTTCTCTCCCAGTGCTACTCTCATCGTGGCAGCGACATAAACATACCCTAAACTCCTCAACAATAAAACGTCGAGGAACACGTGCGTTACTTATCACACAAGCTATCACTAATCGCTTTATCGCTTACTGGACCGCACGAGCCAGCACTAAGCAAGAAGGAAAAGTTACAAAAAAAAAGGAAAAAAAAACTGAAAAATAAGTAATACATAGGTCTTGTTGATTTTTTTCTCTCTATCACTTTTTTCGAATGGTCCGTATATAAAATAAGACACCCCCCCAAAAAAAAAGAAAACAGAAAAAAAGAATACGCTCACCCGTCTATTTATTTATTTATTTATTTATACGAGTATACTTTATTTGCTGAATTCTGTACCACTGGATGCCGATAATCTGTACAAATTACTTCGCGTGGACATTGTACCGGTGTCACGGTCACCAAGCTCTGGGCGCGATAATTAATTATCAAACTGAACTGCACTCGGTACGTCTCGAATGATACGTCGAAAATTAGCAACGTCCTGGAAGATTTTTTTCTAAAACGATAAACGGAAAAATCGAATTCAGGTATTGCGTTATAGCTTAATTATCGCGCTGCGTCTGTGATCACGATTATCAGGCATGAAGTTTGTTCACTGCTCGTAAACCTTTTGCGCAAAAGTTTTGCCGACACAAGCCGCCGGACACACGGCGTCCTCGTTAATCACATAAGAGCAACATGTACGATAATAAACTCGATAATAAATATGTTTCCTAGTACCACTTAGTATCCTTTGTACTTTGCTTCGCCCGTTACTGCTAATGGTAGCCATAGAGCCCACCCTCCCGCCCCAAGTAATTTCTCCATACACGCATCGAACTTTATAATAAAAGATAAAACAAAATAGACCACATGGTTCAGTTGTACGAGCCCAGTAATCATTCTACCCTCTTATGATCATAGTTTACATAGATTAGTGAGTCCTGTGTCGAGCTTGGGTGCTTGTCAGAGACACGCTGAGAACACGTTCACATCGGCACACTCACGCAAATACCTTGACATCCATCGCGCGATCGTAAGTTTCACAGAGGCCAGAGTTTACGTCTCTCAGCCTTTGACAACGAATCCTGAATCGAAGCGAGCGAATTAACCGAGAGCTGGTAAGTTCCCAGAAATCTCCTCGATTCGTTTCACGTGCAAATCGAAACGAATAGCCATTCCAGATCGTCGATTAATGTGAGTGGTTTTAGGACAACGAACGTAGAAAACAGTGTTCGTCGGTATTCTCCTTTTATCGAATCCTCTATAACGATATTCTATGATTCATCACTAGAGGGAGGATTTTGATAATTGATCGAAAGGGGGTCAGAACTTTTATGAGAATCAGAAGTGTACTCGAGCGAATCTATTGCTAACTTAGGTAATCTGCTCGACGAGACCGAGGTGCTCGATTGGATGGTGAAACAGAAGACGGATGAGAGCATCGAAGAGATCGATCGTGACACCCTCGCCAAGTATATCGAGACCAAAGAATTCCTGGCTGTCATTTTCTGTAAGACATTGTTCGATCTCCTGTTGAAAGTCTGTCGCGAATGTCACATATCCGTCGCAGTAAGTTAAAACTATTCGTCTTCTTGCAAAGGGGTTTACTAATACTAATACGAGTGTCGCGGGTAAGTAAGAATTCATGCATAAGTAACACAAGTAAGTGGTCGATTGGAAATCATGGGATAGCGAATGCCTAAGCCTTCGTTCGTCGTTCCATTGCTTGGGAATTTTAATTTCTTAGTCGCATTTGTCGGTGGGGTGACTAGGCAGTCTAACATTCAATTTTTACTTTCATTTTTTCGATAAAATTCTATTCGATTTTTACCGACATTCGTAGAAACACCAATTTGATTGCGAAAATGGTCGAATACAAGCAGAAAAACAGCTTTCTTATATATCGTACGAGAAGCAACTTCATCCATTTTCATTCATTCAAGTCAAGAAGGATTTCTTCCATGATGAATTGACGTATTTAACAATGACTAGTAAATAAACTTAGCATTTTTGGAATAATTGAATATTAAAATTGCTTGTTCTACATTGGTTTCTTTAAGAACGTAATCTGAAAATTCTTCTGAGATATCTGAAAATTCTTATTTTCGGGATAACAATGCAATAGCTCATTTTTCATATTTGCTTTTCAAACCAAGAAATTCATCGAACAGTTGACTTTCTCTTGATCCCATTTTCATAATTTCGTTGCAACTTTCTTTTGTAAGATCTATTCCGAAACTGGTGGTCTTAGCTCCAAAAATATACATTTTTCATTTCTGCTCTTTTATTTCTGGTCAAAACAAAACATCCAAAATTGCTGCTTATTGTTACTTTGTTAATACTTACACGTCTAAATAAAATTGTATTTATACTACAAAGTAGCAGGTAAGCATTGTGTGGAGGGGTTGGTCTTTAGAATTAATTCCACAAAAAGATCAATTCTTTAACAATTGCCTAGACTTGATTTTAGCAGTACTGCAAAACTTCATAGAAAATGTTTTCTATAATACGTTTATACTAATGTATATTTATACTAATTCTCACCTCCATGGCCCAGTTTGTATAGAGTAGACTCAAAAGAGATTATTAAACCCTTAATATCTGTAACAAATTAGGAAATCCACTAAAATCTTCTATTTTACTATCCTTTTCTGTGTAACAGATAGGTTCCACAGTTTAATACTAGGTTGTCCAGAAATAAATTGTTTAGGTGTGTAAACCCAGATACCTCAGATTAGGATGAATACCCAGATACCGAATTACCTACTTTCAATTTAAAAAAAAAAAGTTACTTTTATATTTTTGTTATCAAATGGCAAAATTACTATAGATTTCTAGATATCTTCTCAGGTATGTCCGAAGCATCAAAGTATCCATAGAAGTTCCATACAATTTTCTCATTGGCCCTCTATTTTATAGAATCAGGACTTCTATACAATCAATAATATAGTACTTTACGTTCACTTTCTTTACTTTCGAGATCATTAAGATTAAAATGACGAGTACCTTTTACTGCTTCACGTCCTACCTTCAATTAGACAAGCATGAAAAACAAAAGCATAAGTCCTCTTCTAATGATTGATAAATGATAAACTCTCAAATATATGGGGAATATTGCATGATCAACGTAAATCTGAAATGTCTGATATGCAAATGCTATAGGTATAACCAATCGGGAAACTGCAATCTATTTTCGAACAACTTGATGACATGAAATTCCTCTTCGGCATAATAACGCATCGATTCGAAATGTAACGAGTTATCCCGCTTTCATAGACAAGGAGGATGACCCGGAAAGTCCTAGAGTGCTCAGGCACGTCGAGTTGATCGACGATGAGGCGGCTGAGTATGGCATAAAGATCGTCAGGATGAAAGATCGGTTGATGGCGAAGAAGTACGGATTCCGCAATCCACCAGGTATCACGTATTTCCGCAAGGGGAAGAACATCAACTACGACGGAGACATAGACGACGAAGAGGAGGTCCTCGATTGGTTGACCAATCCAGAAAACATGGAACTGACCGATCACATTGAACGAATTAATAAGAAGATGTTCCAGAAGATAAGACAGACAACTGATTACCTGGCTGTGTTCTTCTGTGAGTATCGAATTTGGGCTACTTTTACTTAAATGGAACTAGAATTCGGGTGTTCGGTACAATCTTCGGTACGAATCTTCAAGAAAACGTGCAAAAGTAAAAAATAAGAAATCCGTTTTCCTTTTGTGAAACTTATATTTTTAAATCGCCGTTAAAAATCCGAAATCAACGATAATAATAAAAGTATTCGTCAATTTAAAATATGCAAACCACCATGTAACTTTATTTGAACTCAATTTTGATCTTGGACAGTTTCCGAAATAACGTTAGAGCAGCCACTCTTCAAAGAGTTAATTTCACTGTTTAAACGTGGGTTTCACTTTTTAATTTTCTACAAGCACAGTTTCATCGAATAACGTCCCTTGTTAAGATTTCGAATATTATATTCTCATCAATACGATTTCAAATCTGCCTTGAAATAATTTTTCTAGCTACATATTTACAAAACAAAAACTTCAACTTTAACATCCTTTTTAGATTGAAAAATAGTACATTGTCACACCTGCGATTGTTATTTCTAATGTTTGTAAGCATTTTTTAAAATATACTTAAAAGTACGGTATAGTTTCATGAAATTGCATTTTATTAAATAAAATAAGACTTTCGAGCGTTTCGAACGCGGCGGCGCGCGTGTGTTTAGATAGCAACGACTGCAAACAATGTGGCAGGGTATTAGGAGAGATCGAACACATCGACGACGAGGCCGATGGGGCGGGAATCAAGTTTGTGAAAATCGACGACAAACAGCTATCGAAACAGTATGGTGTCTTCGCGCTGCCCGCCATTTTATTCTTTAAGATGTCCTCTAAAGAACCGGTTATCTATGCAGGTAGTACTTGAATACAGATTTAAATACGTTCAATAGTTTTAAATATCTATTTTCAAATACTTTGGACGATTGCAGGCGATTTGTATGACGAGGACCAGATTCTGCAGTGGTTGATGACGCAGAAAGATCCCTCCGGGGAGGTAATCGAAGATTTGGAGGGAGAGGACCTTCTGAATTTGATTAGGGAATCGGAATCGCTGGCGGTGTACTTCTGTAAGTCTCACGGTTCTTCAGGCGCGGCCAACTGCCAAGCAGGAATGTATCACTAGCCTGTTGCGTGGCACAATACTCCTATATTTCTACATTCCCTTCCATCTTACGATCTATTCTACTCGATTTTTGGAACTATATCAATTGAAACTTAATTGCAAATGGTAAAACACGAATCTGAAAATATTTTCCGCATTCTGTGCTACTCTTATTGGCACAAACTTAAAGTTGAACATACAATTAACACGTTCGCAAGGCTTTCCTCAGCAACTGGCTTCATAGATGTGACTGTTAAATTTATATGACTGTTATGTTTATAAAATATGGGAAAAAATAACTATAAAATATCATAAATACGAGAATATTAATCGTAATTACACTTATGTAATTACTTACTGCATGTACATTCTAAAAATTCAAAAGAACGTGCGCATTGATAAAAATCAATTATATTCTACTTTTCATATTGATCATGTCCCAAATAGTTTAGGGATGATTTCTTGATGATGATTTCTTTTTGTCGTATGTCCTTCGTCTCAATGAAAATCCTCGCTTCTAAAAAAAAATTTAAACATCTGTCTTAGTTTTTTAATTTGACTTCCATTCAAACAGATATTTATACTTAGTTCGCTTTATAATTCTCTTATTGGTTTAAATTGCAATTTTTGTCAACTATAATGCGATCGTTTGTTTGATTGCTAGATTTTATTTTATATAGGATGAATTGATAAAATAAAACTTTTTTTTTGGAGCCACTGTATTCGATGACCACCAGCGAACGTGTTTAAAACTATTCTATAACCAAAAAATAACTCGTTTCGATTTCCAGACGGTAATAAGCCACTTCAATTTTCTTGTCACTACAACATTTAATACAATTTTCAATGCTAGATTTGTAATCTCCATGAAACTACTGCTACCAGAATCAGTGTCACAAACAATTCCTAAATTATGATTTCTCAGGGTACATCCTTCCTTGTCTCCAAATGAAACCTAAGTCTAATCAATTTATATGTCTGTAAAGTACTTGGGAATAATAACTGCTGAGCGCAGCCAGCAACTCGTTTGCGAATATTAATTCCTGCTCTGGAAGCAACGATGTCGAGCCAAAAACTGTCTCGCGAACTCAATGTACATAGGCCACGGTGAATCGTCGTGTTGTCTTTTACGCTTCTATTTGTCCGGCTTAAATGTGTCGCAACGATTAACCGAACCGAATCGTCGATTTTGTCCGTCTGTACTTTCCGTTATACGTTGCTATTGGCCATCTCTCTCGTCACTCTGTCTTGTCTTGATACGTCTGAGGCTGTACACGTTGTCTGCTAATGCCGCAGGGAACAGAACGCTTTGCGAGTTGTGTCAGGCAAAAAATCAGCGCAAGCAGGGCCGCCATAAGGAGCGCAGGATCGTCGAGCACGATGCGGCCGAGGAACTCGATGGTACACGTGAACACAGAAAAAAGCAAAAACCTTCATTTGCTGACCCCGGTCCCACTCTTCTCTATTCGCCGATACATTAAACTATGTTCCAGATAGCTCTGCCAGAAATCTCATCTCTGTGTGCCACAATCCGAACACGAGCATCACACACACACTTCAGACATCGATCCTGGCGTGTACATTTTTGCGATGTTTTTAGCAGATTTTCTCGCTTGTTTTGACTCCGAACACGATACAGCATATAAAAATAATTTTTATGTAAGAGCTTTCGACGCCCTCCGTTCGTGTCTAAAATGGCGAATCCGTAGGTTCTCTTCGGTCGCGGGGCAAACGAATTTTTGAAATGCGCCCGATTTTTACGAGAACACGATTTTCCAGGTCGAGCGACAATAAACGTACAACATTGTTTTTTCTCAAGTTGGGACACGATCACACTATCACACAGGTGTACCCGCACGTTTAGACAGCATGCAGAAAACCAATAGAGCCAAGCAGAAGAACCATAGCTCCCTAGACATCCCGCTGATCAGCATGTAATTTTTTTGTTTGGCCATGTTTGAATGAATCTGATCGATTCAGAATTTCTTTTGCTACCAGTTCTGCAGACTATGTGTCATTTTTCAATAGAGTTAGTTCCCCTCCGGTGTGGACAGCAGCTTTCGTAGATCGTCGTGAACCTGAACACCACCGCCTGTATCATTTCATGTTCCCCAATAGGCTGCTGTCTTTCGAGTAAACACTGTTCTCTAAGGGTTAGCGAATTTTATAACGATACAGTTTCTCTTTAGACGTCGAAGACTGCGAGCAGTGTATGGGGATCTTGGAGGAGCTGGAGAACATTGATGACGACTGCGACAGACACGGGATCACTTTCGTTAAAACTAACGTGAGTTCTAGAAAACATTCACAAACCTGTCAAATAGTATTCGATCAAATGCATCAAAAATCGATCTCTAGAATTATTTAAATATTTTCTATGGACAATTTATTCATTTACGATGAAGTCAAATAGTAAGATAAAGCTGATCATATACGATAATTATGGTACTTCCGGGAAATGAAGGATTCCTGAGGTCATTTGAAGTAACGTTTTCCTTAGCGAAAATGCAATCCGTGGCTTTGTTTACGAGTTATTAACGAAAAACACTGACCAGTCGGAGAGCGAGTACGATCGGCGTTCCACCCTCGTGGCCAATGTTGCGTGGCGCCGGCAATTTGACGCAGCGGTAGTGGTCGCGAGAACGGGACGTCAGCCATACGCGATCTCTCATTGGTCAGTGTTTTTCGTTAATAACTCGTAAACAAAGCCACGGATTGCATTTTCACTGAGGACAAAGTTACTTCAAATGATCTGAGGAATCCCTCATTTGATATGTTCGTTTCTTTCTATAAAGTACAAAATACAACAAATTTGTAATCGATTTGAGGGTTCAATTACCTCCAAGCTTTAAAAGAAACATTAAAAAGTGTTCTAATGTTTTGTTGCAGGGGTTTTAAATAAATCTTTCAAATAGTATTTCCTAAATACGTTTCTCTTTCAGGACTACAAGGTAGCCGAAGATTATGGAGTCACCGACTTTCCTGTGCTAGTGTATTTTGAGAGCCAACTGCCCAATGTGTTCGAAGGTTTGCATCTTAGCATAAATAAAATCACAGTAACTCATCTTTTATTCTATCGTTTGTTGACCGTTTTATACACTTTTCCGTGCAGGTGATTTAGCGGTGGAGGAAGAGGTTCTACAATGGCTGATCACCCAGAGGACCGAGGACAGGATCGAATTGATAACTAGAGTGATGCTGGAAACGTCAGTTGAAGAGACTCAGTACCTTGCTGTATACTTTTGTGAGTATACGCCGACGTCCTTACGTTACGTCCTTATACAGCGACGTCCTTCGAATCTGTCTAAGGCAACCTTAAATTATCGTTTGTGTTACAGATAAACAAAACTGCCACATATGCGATGAAATTTTGGAAGGATTAGAGAGGGTCGACGACGAATGCGACGTTTTTGGTATCCATCTGGTGAAGATTCAAGATCCCCAATTAGCTAAACGCTACTCGATCAAAACGTTTCCCGCTCTCGTTTACTTTCGAAATGGCAATCCTCTTCTGTTCGAAGGTTTCTGAAAATTCATTAGATCTCGCTAAATTGGAATTTCTTTTATGAGTCATTTGTTCTTCGTACCTCACAGGCGATCTGCAAAATGAAGAGTCGGTTCTCGAGTGGTTGATCGACGATGACAATCGTGAATTGGCGGACGAGATCGAAGCAGTCAACGACAGAATGTTAGAGAGGCTACTAGAAGAATCTCCATTCTTAGCAGTTTTCTTCTGTAAGATCTGAAGTGCATAAGACACACCTCGTTGAATAATAAGCGATCAAGTTTTCCTATGAATCACCAAAATAACGGAAATAGATCTTCTCGGAGTCTCAAAATATCTCCTTCTTTCTACTTAGGAAATATTTTTGACATTTCTAAAATGGTTCACTTCATCAGATTCCATTAAATATATCGACATATGTTTCGTAGACGACGAAGATTGTCCCGAATGCGACGAGATCATGGAAGCCTTGGAGAAAATTGACGGCGAGGCTGATTTATTCGGCATAGATTTCGTGAAGGTCTACAGCCCCGAGGCTGCCGAGAAGTATGGGATCCTCAATGTCCCGTCGCTCGTTTATTTCCGTAAACAAACACCATTGCTGTACGATGGAGATTTGACGCAAGAGGACAAGATCCTCCAGTGGCTGACTTCTCAGGATGTCTTCGAAATCAAGAACGAAATCGAAGAAGTCAATAAGAAAATGTTGGACAAGTTGCTTGACGAGAACGAATTCTTAGCGGTCTTCTTTTGTAAGTATTACACGTTTAAATGACCGTAAACTTATCGGTAAACTGTTTTCAATTTATTCCGAATTCACCGATTGTTTTACAGACGAGCACGATAGTAAGGAAAGCGAAGAAGTGAATGAAAAATTAGAGGACATCGACAGTGAGACGGACAACTTGGACATCACATTCGTCAAGATGGCTGACCCGAGATACGCTAGGAAATGGGGTGTTACCAAACTGCCTGCCATTGTGTACTTTCGCAAGAGATTCCCCAGTATTTATCGAGGTACATATGTTTCATTTTAATAGAAAAATCATTTCATTTAATTAAAATGTAGAGAGAGAGAGAGAGAGAGAGAAAGTAAAATTCTTCAAATAAACTGTTGATAATGGTGTTCAGGGTGTGCTAAATAAGAGATACAAGCTGTTTCCTCAGAATATTAATAAAGATGTCGACTTTATCTATCTATTTAATACAATTAAATAATTACATAAATATATAAAAAGAAATTATATAAAAATAATTATATATTCTACGAAAGATATCTGTTACTCCTTACTTAACACACCTTGAAGAAAGAAGTAACATTGAAGTTAAATTTTAATCCTACATATAGTTCGAAACCAACTTGCACAAAATGCTCACGTAGCAAGTATAATACCTAATGGAACTTTATTGTTCTTGACCATTAATCGAAATCCATGGAACGAAACTTAGTTTGTCGAAATTTATTCAAATTCATAAGTAAGTATATGTAAATCTTGATCCCATGCCTAATAGCCAGGTTCATTCTCGTTCGTATCTTATAAAATATAATCTTGATTTAACATTGATTGTTCCGCAATCATTTTTCCATAAAGGCGACATCCACAACGAACACGACGTGCTCGAGTGGCTGCGCAAGAACAGGTACCGTCAGCCGGAACTGAACATCTACATGTACATGCTGATTGCCATTACCGTCCTGTTTGCCATGTACACCGGTTTCCTGTTGTCGTGCTTCCGGTCGGAGCCTGCCGCGACAACTGCGCATCCGAAGCAAGCGTGAAAATTAGGACCAGGAAGCTAAAGACGGTTTAATTATACAAGCCAAACAAACAAAAAAAAAGAGAATGCCAGGAAAGAGACTACGTGGACTGTTGCTGCGCGAATGTGCGTTGTTGTTGTTGCTCCGACATGTTTCACTTAAAACGAACACCGTTCGTCCGGAACGAACGACACGATATCAAAGGCTCGATGATTCGACGATAAGATCCGTCGTTCTTGCGCGGCATCGACGAGCGCCATGTTTCGCTAGCCGATGAACGAATAAAAGTATACTTATTGTTAGCTTGTTCGCGCACACCGTACCATCGGGCTCGAGACGGCTGCCATGGCACGGTGTGTGCATATATATATATATATGTATAAAAACGTGGACCAAATCCGTCGACCTTTCCAAAGAAGATTTAGACCTCTGTCAAATTCAGAAAGCTGATCCAGGGAGCTGAGGTGTCTGAACAACGCGGAGGAGCGAGGGCGCATTAGTGTTGAGCTACCGTCCGGTGCTAACACACTCGAGTCGCATCGTGTTTTAGAAAAATTATTGTTAATGCGTATGTTTATTATCGTTTGCTATATATTTTTATCGCGTTTAAATCTTTGTCTACTACAGCTCATTGTATTGCTTTCTTACGATCCACTGTAGCCATTATTCCGACCACACTTTGTATTTCTTACGTAAGCGATACACGTACCAGGAATTCTTTGTTGTGTTTCTACTTCTTCTTTTTCTTCTTCTTCTTCTTCTTCTTCTTCTTCTTCTTCTTCTTCTTCTTCTTCTTCTTTGTCTTCTTCTTATTCTTTTTCTTTTTCGAGTGATTATAAAGCTGAATCGACGCACACCGGCGTACACTGTTGCGATTCAAGGAATGTTTGGTGGTCGATGATCATCGACGACCGTAATTTATAATTATTCTGGTTTTCGTAACTTGTTTAGCGTGAACTGTCGACTGTCGTCGACGGCTTTGACAGTGGTCTTGCGCACGATAGATCATCTTTGGTCCACGTTCGCGAGGGGTGATGATCGACACAGGATCGTCGCGTTGATCCGCGTCTGTTCCCGTGGATCATCGCCGATCTTTCCTTTTATCGACCCAGACAAGGTGAAGATCTATGTGACGACCAGTAAAACAATTGCCTGCTGATGCAATATCGGTTAACGAGGAATTTATTGACTAAACGAACCCTTTAGACCAATTCCGAACCCGTTTGAACACACTTCCACCTGCCGATTGTAAATAATGTAAAAGTGTGAACGATGCATTGTATAAGACAAAATACGATGGTTTTACTTTACATTTATGTTTCGCATTCGTTTCTTTCTCTTCGCCTATTTCTCTCACAGGACACCGCGTAGATTTAATTAATCGACGCTAATTGCGCGCGCGCACATAATGTTAGTTCATTTTGGATACACTTCATTCGCTTAGGGACGGCGTTGATAATTCAGCGAAATCTGTATTTCTCTGGTCAAGTCTCTAAGAATTAAATTGAACTTTCGAAATACATCTGGGAGTATGTTAATGTGCATGGCGTGTGAATTTATTATCCCGTCCTTACGTATTTATTGTCGTAAAACTCGATTAGCAATTATAATTAATCCATTGGGCTCCGAGCAATGAAATAAGGCCATTTTTATGTTTATAATTATTTAGTACTTACAAAATTGTTTAGAAAAGCATAAAAACGCTATCGAACTGATGCTTGAACTGATGCTTCGTGTGGAACAAAATAAAAAACGTAAATAACTTATTAAATAAATTATTTTTTTCGACATGTATACATGGCATAATTACAGATTCCATATACCAATTCATTACAGGAGAAACAGATATGAAAGAAAGATTCTCTAAAAACTGCTTAAGATAAAATTGATATAAATGTGCAATATGTACAATAGGATACAGTAATATAAATTTACTGATAATAAAATTACATAAAACATATTGCATTCACGCAACATTGTGCCCAATGGGTCAATTAGATGTAGATGGAGTTCTCCTAGTATCAAACATATAAAGTCTTTTTAAAGCATAACATATATACGGAATTATGTTTATATTTCTAATAGGTTAACACAATGACGTAAAGTAAAGGAGTGTTTCAAATTTCCCGCCACATATACAACATAACGGGGACGGCTCGAAGCCAACTTTAGAGCAAACAATCCACTACTGCATTGAAGTGCACGGACATTGAAAATTTCTTTACTTAGCGGAAGAATGGCGGACGTGTAAGTGTTGTTCGAGTCTTAATGAAATCTGAAAACATCGCGTGTTATAATAACTCTATCCGATTGAAATTATGTTATTATTGATTCTTAGTATCTGGTTTATCGAATGTTTACTATAGTTTTCAAACTTCTTGCGATAATGAAAAGTTATAACTTGCTGCTGACAAGTCTCGACCAACGTGAGGCAGAACATAGTTAATATTTTATAAATATTTACATTGTAGATTTTATAGGAAACGATTAGTTTTTATTTTAAATCGGATCGAATTGTAAATATTATTATTTTAGATAGTGGTATTGTTTCATATTGCATGACAAAACTTTACATAACCTTGATTTTGTGTATCATGCGACTGGTACTTGTTAATGTTATTGTGTATATACTATGTACGTTTAGTTCATAACATTTATAAATATTAATTTACAGACAGAAGGAAACTGTCCCCTCAGCTAAGAAACTGCCGGCAGTACCGGAGTCGGTACTTAAGAGGAGGAAAACCCGTGAAGCAGTTAAGGCTGCACGTCTTCAAACCTCTATTAAGGTACTAGAATTTAATTAATACTTCATATTTCAAGTTAAACAATCACTTGAAATTTTGCTTTTCAATTACTTAAGAAATTTGTTTGATTTCTAGCAACGTGCAAACCGTTACAAGAAGAGGAAGGATATCTTTAAGAGAGCAGAAAAATATGTGAAAGAATACAGAACCAAGGAAAGGGATGAAATCAGATTAATAAGACAAGCCAAAAACCGTGGAAACTACTACATCCCTGGGGAAGCGCGTCTCGCCTTTGTTATACGTATTCGGGGGTTGGTATAACTTATGATTTTCAAACAATTATTTATTAAATAATTTATATTTAGCATATAAAATAAAATTTAATAATTCCAGTGTGAACCAAGTTGCACCGAAAGTACGCAAAGTACTTCAATTATTCCGCTTAAAACAGATCAACAATGGTGTATTTGTGAAGTTAAACAAGGCCACAATCAACATGCTTCGTATTGTTGAACCTTACATCACATGGGGATATCCTAATCTCAAGTCAGTTCGTGAACTGATTTACAAAAGAGGATTTGCCAAAATAAACAGGCAACGTATTCCTATTACCAGCAATGCTATTATTGAGAAGAAGCTTGGTATGTTGTTTTACTTTCTTATTTTTCAAGAATCATTTTACATTTGCATGTTACTAAATATTGCTTTAATTTATGTTACTGGCAAGTCCATGGGAGTTGAACTTATTATTATACTTCTCTCTTCCATCTTGTCAGAAAGTAATAGAACTTTTGAAAAACCTTTTCATGTAATGTTTATGTACTGGCAAGTCCATGGGAGTTGAACTCATTATTATACTTCTCCCTTCCATCTTGTCAGAAAGTAATAGAATTTTTGAAAAACCTTTTCATGTAATGTTTATGTACAGGATTGCGAAAATTCATACAAATGATTACAGAACAGTCTTTTTTATTCAATTGTATAGTATATGTTATTAATAAGTGAAATATGTTTTTACAGGTCGTTCTGGTATTATTTGTACAGAAGATTTAGTCCATGAAATATTTACAGTTGGGCTGAAATTCAAATATGCAAGCAATTTCTTATGGCCATTCAAGGTATATAAAAATGCATGTTACCCATACCCGCGACATAGGCATGATTGTAGAAATGTTCAATATTCTATCGATCTCCTACTATGTCGAAGAATAATATGATCTTCTCTTCATGGAACACATGCACTTTGTGTTTCTTAGTCGAAATCAAACAAACCTTTAACCAAATACTTAACTTTTAAAACAAAATTAATTGTTTCATTCTTTCATCTATAGCTCAATACACCAAATGGTGGATGGCGTAAGAAGACTAACCATTATGTTGAAGGTGGTGACTTTGGAAACCGAGAAGATAAAATCAACGAACTTCTCAGGAGAATGGTTTAAATTTATAAAAATCTTGATAAATAAACATTTAAATACAATATACTATCTTGTGTTACTTATTACTTTTGCGTTCATATGTTTTACTAGTCAGTGTTATTCAAATCATTTACATCATTTTCTTCTCATTAGTTATCAAATGATTTTATAAATACTAGACAAATTGCAATGATACAGGCTCAAGGAAAAAATATAGAGAAAAAGTTATATATACGCCAATTTTTTTCCGTTCGTTATGGATATAATCAATAGTACATAATATAACTACAAGTGACGCCAAAAAATGTTTTTATTTGAATGCAGTACATATGTAGACAACAGACGCATGCGCTACGTCCGTCACATCAAGTAGGTACGTACATGTATGTATATGTATGTACATAAGTTAGTTGTACATACTCCGATCCGTAGTCTATTGTAATGTCAGAATGGAAGAGTAAAGGCGTAGTTGCGGTTGCGGGTTCGAATCTTACTCCAGGAAGTTTAGACCAAATATTTTTTTTCGGGAAAAGATATTCTTTTTCATATAAAAACAAAATCTTTCAGAAATCTTGGTAAGTATGTCGTCCAAAATGTGGTTAAATATATAGAAAATTTTTAAATTACGTGTGCATGCTTTCTCACATGTTATATACATAATTCATACATAACCTTGTTTTTTCGGGAGGAAAAAAATAATTATTACTACAACAGTTCGCAAATGATGAATTTATACAATGTATGGGTAAAGCTTATATTTACTATTGATAAACTGTTATCATATACTACTCTTTAAAAGAGTTGTGGCAGTAGATAATTTTTATTTAAATAGTAGAAGCGTTCCGTTTTGGCCCACATGGACCCACATGTTCTTATCTTCGAATCCTGCAAACGTCAATTTTATTTTAATAAATCAAACGATTTTTTTTTTCTTGTAATATTTTGTATAATATTAATGGAATATAAGTAAACCTTTAAACTGAACAATATACTAAAATGACTTGAAAAATAAAATAATTTTTTATTTTATACTTGCCTTAATTTATGATAGAAAAACTTTAGTTTCAATATATGTATATTTAAATTGTAGCAATAATGAATAAAGACACTGAAAAATCTTCAGATATTGCTTCCAATGATGTGGACTCATCTATCAATAAATTAAAATCCCCATTGCATAATACAAAAATGCCTGTTATTCATCGTAATATATTACAAAATATTAGGATCAGTGAATCTATAGCAAAAGGTAAATTTATTAGCTATTATAATTGTTAAAATATTGATTACAGTTTAAATACAATCATTATTTAAAATGTTACGCATTACATAACATTTTTTATTTATATTTATAGGTGGAAAAATTACAGAAGATACTCTAGAAAATATTATGTCACAAAACCTTAATACTACTGCAAAACCATCTATGATAGTAGTTAAT